TGTCTAATCATATCTAGTAGTGGAATCATACTCCTCAAAGGTTTGGAACACCAAAGATGACCATACGTGGTCTTCTTTCCAAGTCTTCAACTGCCCTGAAATTCAGCTGACTGAAGAATTGTCTGTAATATCCTGTCGGCTCAACCATCACCTCTTTGTTTCTGCTGTCTTTGAAGCCATGTGATAATAACTAGCTTTATGTCAGATCGACAGATATGTTGCTGTTACTATATTAACCAGAGCATCTGTTGTTTGAAGTCCCATTTACTGCATTCCAGCTGGCGCTCAGAAGTTCACTTAGGCATGTTTAATTTTCTCGCTAGGTTTCAACTGCTGTTTTTCTTTATTAACCCAGGCAATGATACCAAGCTTTTCCACGATGATCGACATCAGTCAGGAAGAATGTTAGTTATTGGAACTGCATTTGCTAATGAAGTCATCTTTGTAAGCAAACAAGTGGAAAGACTTTGATGTATTTGCTGGGGACAGTTTCTTTCAGGCTGCTGCTAGGGAGGGGATATGGGTCCTTAGCAAGTGCATAATATTTCTTCTTTTGTAGATTGATTGATCCCTATCCAAAGCTTGGGCTTTCTTCTGTTCTTCCAGACACTAGACTGGCAAAACCACACACATGACATCCTCCCCAGCCCAATAAAAAATTGATTGCGCTTACCAACTTGTAGAAATCTTGTCAAATGTCCTTATCTGTAGGACTTGATTCTTGTTGTGATATGCTGTGCCAAAACATACACTCGTTTTTTCATCTTTCAGGTAACAGCATCCATCGTTTCATCACATTGTTGAAATGCGTTGTTCTCTCCTCCTCCTCCTCAAGGCTCTATATAAGAAATTATTTTATTATGTTTTTAATGAATCTAGAACAAGAAAGTCGAACAGTTCTAATAATACAAAGGGTCTGGATCGTAGTTTTATCACCCTATATCCATCTGTAAGGTCCTATCTGATGCTTAAAATAAGATAATATGTTACAGTTCAAATTACATGGTAATTTTTGTCAATTTCAAACAAAGGAAATCCTAAAAAACCCTGACTTCTAGAGTAATTTAGAGGTTTTTTTCCATTTTTTTAATTGAATAAATATGTTAAGCAGATTGATCAAAAGTATAAAACTTTCGGAAGAAGTACAATACAGTAGTGCATTTCCTGATTCCTTGGTGGCTTTCCTGAATGGATGATGACTTTGATTTGATTCTTTCATTAGCACTATGATACTGATGGTTGATATTATATGTATCCATATTTAATACTGGTGTTATATTACTTTGTTGTTGTTAAGCTGCAATTACCCTTTTATGGTTTCCCGCCACATTGTGGTATGCTTCTTTAGTACTTTCTCTGTCAGAGTTGTCTTGCTGCAGCCCTTAATAAAACAGGCAACTCTGTCTCAGTTATCCCCTTCCACTGACCGTAAGTAGTGTGTAGATGGCTACTCTTGAGTATATGGCTCACTGCAAAACTGAACTGAATCCTCCTTTGGAATCGGGAAAAACAGTGAACAAAAGGTAGAAGTGACTACTCTCAGAAAACACATGCTAACAGAATTGCTGGTTAGCAGTTCACCCCTCTGGCAAATAAGGGATATCAGAGTGCATTTTCGTTCCTTTGCTAGTACTCGGAGATACTACATTATTTGAGTGCCTGCAGAAGAGCAGGATCAACAATGTTTATGATATCTTTGAGACTTTTGAGCAGCCGTCCTTCCCTAGAGTTGTACTGCTAGTCAATAACGCTTGTGACGTTTTTATAGTAACTTAGAAGATCAGTTGTCTCTGCTTGAAAGAAAATTTCTGTCATAGGCTAAGTGAAATATCCTAGTTCACATGGATTCAATGGAAAGAGGGACATGACTTCACAATGGACATGCTGAGTAAGAGTAACACTTATAGTGTCACATAACTTGCAGATGCTAAAAAGGTGATTTGTTTGGAGTGATGGTTTACCTTTCTAAGTCTGGAGGCAGCAGCAGCATGTATTCACAGGGCTCTTGGTGACATTAAGACTCTGGGATATACAGTGATAAGTGACATCTTGTGGACCTGGGTGAAGTCTCTGCTCCATTTCCCTGATTTTTTCCATCATTTGTCTCTTCTTGATTGGAGACAGAGTTGCTCTTAAATCTGTTTTAATTCAGTTTTGAATCTTTGTATCTCTTAAAGGAGATCTGCTTATTGCACAACTGGTCCTTCCTGTGACTAGGTGACTTTTGTAATCATTTAAAGTGATAATGTTCCTAAGAAAGAAAGTGATAAATATAACGAATTGCACCTCTTGGTCCAGTGTTGGTGGTTCAACTGCAGTGTTGAATTTGAGGTCTTGCACAGTAATTCTTATTCTAGTCTCTAGGAATGAAATTTTCTGTATAATAATATTTTTTAGGCTCTCAGGTTAAATTAACTTTTTACAGTACGTGTAAATTAGTGTCGCAGGAAACATCGGATCTTGGAACTTCATTTTATTCTTTGCTACATTAAACAGTTTTAATCTCATTACAGTATCTTATAATCCTTTCAAGTTATTAGAATAGGTCTCAAATAGAGGGAGACATCTCCAAATAGTATCATTCTGAATGATTTTATCAAGTTATCTAATGAGCTCTGTAATTATTTACTACATTCTTCATACCCACGATTTCTGAGGTAGGTTAAATATGCGTCCTTCAGGTTCAAAATATATGAGCACTGTCTGATTTGCTGGCACACTGAAAGGAAGATTGACATCATGAATCACTAAACCAGGATATAAAATGGAGACTCCACCTTGGATATTTTAATAATTTGTTTTCCTTTCCCTTGACATTTGTTCCACTGAACCCTGCACATGTGGAATAGTGATAGGGGAGAGTCCATGCCTCCCTCATTTCCTTTCACGTTCACAGAGATGCTGTTTATCGTGGGCAGTCCATGAGATTGTCCAGAGGAAATAAATATGCATTCCTATTAGTGATAGTTAATTTTTACATTTCAGTGCACTTGCAATACAGAATCTTTTTAACTGAGTCACCCTAAGACCATGTAATTCCTTTTGGCATCAGTTGGTATACAGCAATTTTGTACAAGAGTTTAGGACTCATTGTAGTAATCTGGTGAAATAGCCAACAATAAAACTCTGTTTCTTCCCTTTAAATTTAAAACTTCCTACTGTGAACAAATTCAAGTTTAGAGCTTTCTAACAGCTATAGAACAATTATTTACTTAGTTATCAAAGATACTGTATTTGCATAAAATGCAGTGCTTCAGCTTATAAAGATTATTTTGTTTTCATCTCTACAAGAGTAGGAAACACTGTGTTTAGCATCTAATCTTTTAATACATTTAATAATATAACCTTCAGTACAGCACAGTAGGAAATATTCAGTAAGGATGCAGTAAGAATGCGTTCTTTTCTGTTTTCCACACAATTTATCAAAAAGATACAAAATTTGTTTACCAATTCTTTACACCCCAGTAATTTACCAGATAAACATATTGAATTCCTTACTAATACAATAAAAAAAAATGTGTTCATGTCTGTATTGACTAAAGACCAATGATTCTCTTGTTGGACTAATATACTCTATAACTGCATGTAAAAATACAAAAGGAACAGGGCACTGAATAAATACAGGGTTATGGCAAAATCCTGGTAGGGATTCTGTTACTTGATAGTGGTTGCCTTTAAAAAAGAAATCAGTTGTCTTACATTTGTTGTGTGCATTTGTATTTGGAGGTGATTGAAAGATTTTCAACCCTTATTTCATTTAGGATTTGGAATGGTTCTTACTGTTGGAGACTGTTCAAATTTAAATGATGTTTGGGGTTGTATGTGTGTGGTTGGTTTGCTAGGTTTTATTCCTGCCTGGAAATAGGTTACCCCTCTAATTTTGTGTCCAGCATTGAGTAAATGAATATTTATGACTTTACAATAACAGAGGGTTAAAGAAATCACAGAATCACAAAATAACTGAGCTTGGAAGGGACTTATGGAGGTCATCTGGTCCAACCCCCCTGCTGAAGCAGGGCTAGTAGGCCAGGACCATGTCCAGATGGCTTTTGAACATCCCCAAGAATGGAGACAGATATGTAATGCTTTTGAAACAGAATTTACAAACTGGCTTTTGTTCATAACTTATCCTTACCATAAATTTTACTTATATTTAGCAGATATCAAAATCTTAATTGTCAATTATCCTAGCATCAAAATAGGTACCACAGATACAGCCTCTAGGACGTGGAGTTTTCTGGGTTTTCTGGGTTCATCTGGACTGGTGGTGTTTTCAGTCTTGACCAAGTTCTTTCATTATCACATTCATCTCTACATTTGCTATTAGCATAGCTTAAAAAAAAAGGACAGAACAGATTTATGTGGTTACATTGATATTCTTTATTTAGGTTTGTTGTGTACAATTATAATGAAATTTTATGCTAGAAAGTTTGGATTGCTTTGTGTAATTCAGCAAAAATAGTGCTCATAATCCATGGACAACCTAGTTGGTTGTCAAGCACTTGTGGTTTATTTTTTTCTCTTCAATTTCATTTTACAAAGCCTTTGCACTAAACATTGTACGGTGTTGTGTGTCAGAATAATTAACATGTAATTATTCTAATAATGTTAATAAAAAAACTGTCATAAACTTTATTTTAATCTGCAAACTAATCTTGCAGTATTTTAAACAGTGGTCTACTTACATATGCAATTTATCACTACATATTGATTTCTTATACCAATTTCTTATTTTTCAAGAAGTGTTATTATTCTTCAGTTGCCAACATAATACCTGTTTTAATGTTTGAAATCTGGCATCAGCATGTTTCACAGGTGTCTGGGATATCTCAGGTACTTTGATTTTGAAGTGGTGATGGTTACTGTCCAAAAAAGATACTAGATTGAAACTTGGTAAACAGAAAAAGTACTTAATAAAGAAATGCATGAAACTTTGTTCCAGTGAAATTGTAGTGGAGTAATTCTGATTTTCTGTTTTTCTTTTTTTTCTTGAATTCTAGATTTATCCATAGCAGTGCAAAAATTTTCACAGTCTTTACAAGATTTTCAGTTTGAGTGTATTGGAGATGCTGAAACAGATGATGAAATTAATATTGGTAAGTACACTCTGTGTTCTGCTTGCAGTAACATTTTTATACTGCTTTTTTATATATCTAGTATGTTATCAGAAATATAGTGGGGCAGTTCACAGTTGCTTTTTAGTGGTGCATGTCACAAAAATAGAAAAAATTCAGTAAGTAGAAATCATGCAATTCTTTAAAAATACATGTCAAAAATGAGGAGTTTATGACATAGCTTAGTTCATTGTAGCGGAAAGTATTCAGCAGTATTTTGTCAGCTGAGTCAACTGTGAATCCTCTAAATTCCGGTGCTATTTTTATGTTTCAGGCAGTTTTCAATGGCTTACTTAAAGGTACACAAAATTCCTATGATGTAACATAAGTCTGCAAAAAAACCACCTAAGTGCCTAGTAAGACATAGGAAGTATTTAAGGGTCCAAAAGAGGAATATGTTCTTTACAACTTGTGCATTCCTAAGTATATAGTTGTCTGAACTTTTGCCAGTAAAATTTACTAGCTGCTTAATGTTCTGCCTCTGTGCACACCCAAAAATTCTGCACTTGCAGAACTGAAGAGCATAACTTATTTTCAGCATAAGCCTCTTTAATGTCATCAAAATCTTCTTCCCTCAACAGACTAATCCTAGAAACGTTTCCAGGATTCAGAAATACAGTCAATCTTTACTGCAAGGCATTGCTGTGGTTGTAGTGATGCTTTTGGGCAGTAGCACAGCATCTGGAGTACTCTAAGTCCCATTGGTAAAAAATTTGGATTATAATCCATCTTCAGAATGGCTAAATTCAGTGTCATGAGTCTTACATACCACATGGCCCCCATGTGTCTGCCAAAATATCTGAGAGGAAGTAACATGGTTCTTAAAGAGTAGTGGCTTCTAAAAATAACTTATTTGGCAGTACAAGAGGGAACGTAGAGCTTGTTAGCAATTTTAAAAAAAGTTCTGTGTAATGCAGAGAGGAAACTCAGATTTAGCTTTTTTCAGGTTTTATTGGGTCTGGCTGAGCTGGAGTTCATTTTCCCATATAGCCCTCACAGTGCTGTGCTTTGCATTGGTAGCTAGAAGGGTGTTGATAACACACCAGTGTTTTGGCTACTGCTGAGCACAGCATCAGTGCTGTAACATTCCTTCCTCAGTTGAGGGCAAGGTCCTGGGAGGGGACACAAGTAGGCCAGCTGACCCAAACTGACCAAAGGGATATTCCATACCATATGACATCAGCTCAGATACAAAAGCTAAGGCAAGGAGCAGGAAGGGGGGCATTCACTGTCTCCAATGGCTGCCTGCTGAGGAACCATCACACGTGCTGAAGCCCTGCTTCTTGGGAGTGGCTGACCATTGCTGCTGATTGGAAGCAGAGAATAAACCTTGTTATCTTTCGCTTTGCTTTTGCATGCACAAGCTTTCCCCTAGCTTCAGCTTTCATAAACTGCCTTATCCATACCCACGAGTTGTTTTCCATCTTACTCTCTCCCCTGTCTGGCTGAGAAGGGGAGCGATAGAGTGGCTGGGTGGCCACCTGATGTCTAGCTAAGGTCAACCCACCACACTGAGTATATCTCTTCTTATAATCTAATTTCAAGTCTCCTTTCTCATCAATTTTTCCTTTTCCTGACTGAGCTATTGGACTCAAAGTCTGGTTGTTTTCACCTGCAAGGTTTGCCTCATCCTCACCCTACGACATTGCCATAGTCAGAAAACTGTCATCACAGATGACTAATATTTGGTCTCTGTCTCACTGTTGCCTACTAGCTTTTGGCAAGGCAGAGGGAGGGGAGGTTTAATTTTACTGACATGTAAAACTAGGGTAGTGAAATCACTGAGCTGCTGCTACTCAGGTTTAAAACTGCATACATTCTTGAGTATCAAGCTTGGAAAGAGGCAAAGAAATGGTGTATGTACTCTTTGGCATTCTACATATTATTTCTTGTCTGTTAAAGTTATGTTGTACATATTTTTAAACTAAATCTGCAGTATCTCAGTTATATGTCATAGATTTGGTCAATAACTTGTTTAAAGAAATAGAGTTTTACATTTAAAATGAGGTAACTGAGGACAACGACAACGTTCATTTTAGTTGTAACCTGAATGTAGCAAGAAAAGATATTTTATTGTTTGGACATTGAACAGACATTTAAAACTAGTTAGGAAAAAAACAGAGTTCATGAAGTTTGACAGCTGATTTATTTCACTTAAAGCTTCAAAGAAGGGATTTCTAGCTTCTAAAGCACCACTGGCCTGATGGATTGTCATGTACATCAAAGAAGTTTGTAAGAGTAAAAGGTAAACTGACAGAAATCAAATTCAAGTCTAACAGAGCTTGAATGATACTGTCTGCTTTTATAGGGTAAGACTCAATTTTTGATCTCCCTAGAGCAGTAACCTAGAATTTATCTGTATCTTTAACATGGCCCAACAAGCTAGATGTTTGCTTATCATCAAAGACAGCTTTGTATAGGTGAATCCTTCTCTGTACCTCCTTCTGCCTTCACCTCCTTTTTTTAAGAATGTCTACAACTGAGCAGGCCACTGGGAAGTTCTACTTCAGTGTGCAGTGATACTCTGACTCGATAAGTTTTGTAATAAAACACCATATACTTAGGGGCTTAATATAGGGACTACATTTGTATTTCAAGCTTAGCATTGAAAATACACCCTTATCCACCTTACCATTGGAAATTCACCCACTGAATAAGACTTTTGTCAAGATGCGATTATTTAAATAAAAGTTTCATCTTTTTTCAGAGTTAAATGAGTGATTTAAGTGGGTTTTTTTCTTTTTTTTCTTACCAGTAATAAATATTTGAAACTGATTTGATAGCTCCATTAACTTGTTTTGAGGCAATACTAGAGTTGGAGGTCTCTGTTTAGTAACTGAGCACAACATAAGTTTTTTACCTTTTTTTCCCCAACCTGAGATCTAATAACAGCAGTTTTATTTGCATTTCCTGTAACCTGTACCTTTTCAGTTGCTCTCTTGATACAACTCATCTATTCCAATAAGCCCTTTACACAGAATACATGAGAAGTAGTTTTAGTTAAGCTCTATGACACACTCCATGTAAACAAAATTATGGTGGTGTTCTTAATATTTATTTTAATCCATCTGTTAATGAATCCAGTGATCTATTTTTTTTGTTTTAATTCCTATATTTTAATTCTAATTTTGATGATTTCTTACTTTTTATTTACAAATGTTTAGTTCTTCCATAGAAGTATTCTTCTTTGACAAAAAATCTGTGTGGCTCTATAATGCATTTTAGGTAGTCTTTCCATGTTGTTGCAAGTTACCCAGATTTATCTACATAGCCACTTTCAGATATACCATACCCAGTTTAGCATCATTTTATGCATGAGTTGGAAGCAATTCCCCTGACTTTCTTGGGTAAGCAGGCTGGTTTGTTCTTGATTTTTTTTTTCTTTTTTTTTTTTAACTGTGAACATCAAAGGATTTATGCTATAAAAAGCTTTTTCAGTTTTTTGCCAGCACATTTGGTTTGAGAAACAGTGCTCACCAGCTTTACTAGCTTTTCTCATTAAAAAGTAAACCAGCTAGCAACAATTGCTAGTGTTGTTTCTTTCTCTGTTTTGAAATGCATGTGGAAGCATGTGATCTGCAGAAATGCATAGGCCATACTGTTTGATAGCAGATCATGGTTATTAGCTCCAGTTGCATGTGATTTAGCCAAACTATAATTGTTTTTTGTGCACTTGAAAAGTTTTGCAGAAGTAGCAGCTTCAAAGCAAAAATAACATGACGAATGACAGCGAATGATTAATACTAAAAAGGCATAGTAATGAAGATTGGATATAACTTACCCTTACTCTGAGAAGAGGGTGTTGCTTCCCTCACCTAACAACTGTGCTTTCCTCAGACTGAAATACCAAGACTTGATTACACTTTGCCATTTGCTCTTTTTAGACACATCACCCTGTGCACAGTTACTCTCAGCCCTCTTTGCAAATAATATGTTGCACAAAACTTCAGATTGACAGTGAATGTAAAGGAGATCAGTCATTTCTCATGCCCAGTGAGAGTTCTGTGTAAAATAAATGCATGATTTTTTCATGTTTCAAACCTTATAGGTCACTTGGAATGTTACACAGATGAGATGGGTGCAAAAACTATGTTTTTAATGATCATGTATTTTTCATTTTCTTCAGTATACACTGTGCAGGGATAAATTTTGCAAGGAGAAGGTTTGCCCAGCTCCTCTTAGTATTATCCAACTTGTGTCACCTGGATCGTTCTCCAGGAAACTCCCTGTTTTGATCCTCTTTCATTCTGTTTGTGTTATGTGAATTGTAGCTGCTAGAGATGAAAACAATAAATATTATTAACTCAGTGGAATTCTGGCTTGTGCTTTTAACAAGTTTGTTTCTATTTTGTATTATAGCTAATTATATATCAGTGAGATCTAATATTAACATTATAAGACCATGCTCAGAATCAAAAGCAGACAAGGCAAACACATACATTCTGATATTCTGGCATTTTATCTTAGTATCTGGTTTTTATTAGCATGTACTGTTAAAAAAAAAGGACTGAAAGGCATGTGTAATTCACTCTGTCACTGCTGGTTTTGAATTTTTTTTTTCCTGAAGAGAATATATTATGACAGATGTTTCAGGTAGCATCAGATGCCTAATTTAAGAATGTAATAGTATTATGACGATCTATGAAATCATTGTTAATTGAGCCACAAAGGACAGGTCAAAAGTTCTAAAACATGTTGTCTTTTCTTGTGGAAACTGAATGCTTCTCTTGCTGCTAGCAACTGTGGCTCAGGTGATCTTTGCTGACTCACACCTCAGGTTGTTCATGGGATTGTTAAATTGCTAGCAGCTAACCATCTACAGAACTGCTAGCTCATACTCAGCAATTATGTTGTGTACAGCAGTTAGTTCAAATCAACTAAAATGTACTGGAGAGAACTCAAAAACAAACAAATGCAAAATGTAAATAGTAGTTGTTTGTTAGAATCCAATGCTGTGTTTTTAAGGCTCTCTTGTTTGAGTT